CATTTATTGCGCTGTTACGCGAGTTCAGTGCTTTTCCCTCATCCCAAAAGTGCCCAATGTGCCTCAAGAAGTTTTCACTTCAAAAATTAGACAATAAAGTACGTGGAATACTTACGCGTAATTCCGAGCGTATATAAGGCGATCATATTTGCAGAGAATACGGCTTCATATGACGTGGCGTCTAAAAGGCAGGGAATCTTCTCGAACACGCGCAATCGACCGGAATAATGTTACTGTGCAGCCGAGCAATTTTAAGCGCTAAAGGATGTTTTGCATGTATAATCATAAAATTAGCTTTCGTGTCGGTACTCGCAGGCTCAAGCAAATGAATTAAGGGTTTTTTGAATAATATTTGATAAAATTCCTTTAAAATATCTTCGCCAAAATTAAGTAACGATATTGTTGTTATCGAGAACGGTGACTTTTTGTTATACAACTACAATTTGCGGAATCAGAAAAAACTTTTTTTTTTATAGAATAAGGGTAACAAACGAGCACATAGTCCACCTGATGGTAAGTGGATGCCGTGGCCAATAGACGTCTACATTTATCCTCAATTAAGAATCAAAATGCAAATGCGTTGTAACCCTTGAGGACTGAGATGGAATGCCTCATTCCCAGTAAAAAGGGTTTCTGGTTCTCTATACTCACCATTAGAAACACAGCAGCATTAAACTGCTATTTTACGCTGGTATTCTGTGAGAGCGTGGTCCTACCCCGGACGAGGCGACCCATTCGTGCTAAAACCAGAATATAGCTGCAGCATGGCTCTACCACGTAAGACAACCATCACGTAAGCTGAAGTGGCTATTTAGATCGAAGAACCGCCAACCGGTGGGGTAGAAAGGTCGAGTATCAGCCACGTACAGTACGTACCGTTAAGCAAAGTATTGGGAGGTCCCTAATATACAGGAAATTTTTATGAGTTTTAATACGTAATAGAGTTACACTGCAGCTACTATATTATGGTTGTACCACTAGTGGGTCAGCTCGACCGGGGAAAAACCACGCTCTCACAATACTAGCGTGAATTGCTCAGATTAATGCTGCTGTGTTTCGTATGGTGAACGTTGAGAACCTTTTACAGGAAACTTATGCATAAAAAATATAGCTCGAAGAAGCACCAGAACAACCAGTGGGGAAAAAGGTTTTCAAGTGGCAGCCTCGTACCGGTAGGGGTTAGTGACTGCAGAGCCTGATACCATGCACTAGTAATGCTGCGTCCGTCACCAATTCTTTCCAATATTAGTTGCCAGAGACCACTCGTTCTTCAGTAAGGTTTTAAATGTGGTAGAGCGTATTATAGCTGCTGCTTGAATAGATTGACTCGACCGCGATAGGTCACAAATCTTAACTTTTAGGTATTTGATCGATTTTTCTATTATTTGTTATCTTAGTGTATTTTTGTCAGTACAAATAAAGCAGGTGATCGATATATGTACAGTGTTAAAACAATCCGTATGGCATCATGGATCGATGTAATTTTGGCTCTTCGCCAAAAAGCATTGGATAATTCACAGGTATAAAATAAATTGTCTATGGTAACATCATAAATCATAACCCCTCCCAAACACTTTAGTTGAATGGCTGTTTGCAACTGCCATGTGAATAATCCACAGTATGTATTGTTGGTGTCAATATTAAACTCAAAGAAGTTTGGTTTCGTTATATTGGTAAGAGAAGTAAAATAGTTTTTTTTTTATAGAATAATAGTGACAAACGTGCACACAGTTCACCTGATGGTAAGTGGATGCTGTGGCTCATAGATATCTACATTTATCCTCGATTAAGAATCAAAATTCAGATGCATTGTCACCCCTGAGGACTAAGATGAAATGCCTCATTCCCAGTAAAACGGGTCCCTGGTTCTCTACACTCACCATACGAAACACAGCAGCTTTAATCTGCTGTTTTACGCTGGTATTCTGTGAGAGTGTGGTCTTTCCCCGGTCAAGCCGACCTGCTACAACTATAACCAGCAATAGCATACACCAACGTGGCTCTACCACGTGTAAAAGGAATAAAAAATATTGTTTTATAGAAATAGAGTGACGAAGGAGCACACAGTCTACCCGATGGTGCCTTTGCAGCCTATTAAAGTCCACTGCTGAACATAGGCCTCCCCATAGATTGCCTCATAAGCGGGATATTTGTCATAGTTGTAATGTTACTGTTAATTTAATAATTTCACCTCTCAGTGGGTCATGTGCTCTTGGTAGATTATCTTCTATACATCCATCCATTACACACTATTAAAGAATACAGGCCTCCCCCATGTATTGCCTCATAGGGGGGATATTTGATAGCTGCTACGCTTCCCAAATGGATCGGCAACTGCAGTGTTTTTTTATTTTTAGTCGTTGTCCGGTACGGGCTTGGCGGATGGGCTAGGCGACAAAAAGTGTAAGATTTTTTCGTGACTACCCCCTGTACCCATAGTGTATTTTATTTTAAATGACGCTTCATTTTAATAGACGCTAGTAGTACATTTATTTGTATTTATTAATCTTCTATAATATATAAATGAATCGCTGGATGTGTTACTAAGCGCAAATCTCGAGAGCAGCTGAACCGATTTCGCTAGTTCTATTTTTATAATATTCCTTGAAGTACGAAGATGGTTATTACGGAGAGAAAAATTTAAAAAAGTTGCCTGAAAAACTATAAAAACATCACTTTTCTATATTCCCATACAAAAGATTCGTAATAATACTTAAGTCAATTTGAACTTTAATACGATACCATAAAGTTTAAGTGTTAGTGGAGAGGTTCCGGGAAGGCAAAACAATTATAATTTAAATTTTTTGACATAATGTAATTGTTGACTTATCCCGGTATCCCGAATAGCAGAATAATTATTAAAAAAAAATATTGAATCGACTGTTAGGCGGTACGAAGTTCGCCGGGTCAGCTAGTCAATAATATACACGTTTACCAATAATAAGGAACTTCGTTCCAACCGAGTGTTCCACGACACTCACGCATGTTTTTTGACAAAGACAACACACAGTCCACCTGATGGTAAGTGGTTGCTGTGACTCATAGATATCTATATCTATCCTCAGTAAAGAATCGAAATGCAGATGCGTTGTGACCCGTGAGGACTAAGATGAAATGCCCCTTCTCCAGTAAAAAGTGTATCCGGTTCTCTACACTCACCATACGAAACACAGCAGTGTCAAGCTGCCTTTTTACGCTTGTATTCTGTGAGAGCGTGGTGCTTCCCCGGTCGAGCCGACCCATTCGTGCTACAACTATACTACTAATATAGCTGCAGCATGGCCCTACCACGTACAACGTACGTAATACTAAAGTTATTGATATATAGAATTCTTTTTAGAGCCAACGTTACGCTGAACTCGATTCTGTTTAGCTCTCGAGCGAATGTACATATCTAATTTTCGTGAACACATGTGTTTTCTGTCATGAAATCATTTCCATGTCAAAGTTACTTTTTGCAAGATAGTAGTATTGTTTCCGATGCATCCGATTCCATTATTTATTTGCACTGACAAAACTACATTAATTATTTGCAAAATTTGAGCAGCTTTATGAATATATTATTAACCTTCTTTAAATTAAGAAACTTTTGTACGTGGTAGACCCATGCCGCAGCTATATTAGTAGTATAGTTGTAGCGCGAATGGGTCGGCTCGACCGGGGAAGGACAACTCTCTCACAGAATACCAGCGTAAAATGGCATCTTGATACTGCTGTGTTTCGTATGGTGAGTGTAGAGAACCGGATACTCTTTTCACTGGAAAAGAGGCATTCTATCTTAGTCCTCACAGCTGACAACGCATCTGCAGTTTAATTTGCAAACGAAGATAGATGTAGATGTCTATGGGGCACAGCAACCACTTACCATCAGGTGGAATGTGTGCTCGTTTGTCACCCTTATCCTATAAAAACAATATGTTTTATGGAGTGTTTCTGTATTGTAGTCAAGTTAGTTTTTTCTTTGTATAAATATATTAAATTCGTTTCTTTTTTTAAACCAGCAGATATGCCCGGTTTATTTAAAAAAAGAAAACTAATTCATCGTGTTTAACTGTGTTCTGACTTTAGATTGTCACAAGACGTTGGATCATTGCTTTTACACTGCGTTTTAGTTGGTAGCTTGAGTAAGCTGAAAAGTTTCGTAGTTTATTTCTCCTTTATTTATCACTCTTTTTAGTGTTTCGCTGACATACCCGGAAGGTACCCTTATAATTTCATTGTGTTCATCTATTATACGTTGCTAGGGCCAACATCGGGGTTCATCGATCAGCTCCATGGTTCTAAAGTATTACCTACATTGACATCTAAGTTATATATTAAGTATTATCAAATTTTAGCTCAATTGGATGTCAGCACGTGCTTTAAAAATGCTTACTAATTTTGAACCGGAACCGAAGAAATCATGCAAAATTAGAGCTTATAAAAATAAAATTATTGGATGACTCAAATGAAATTCTATATCTGTACGATCAACAGCAGATGTCTTGAAGATTATAACAAATATTATTAATACTACCGACTGATTAGGCGCAGTGGCCGCATTCACTACCCCATATAGACACATACGTGTCGTAAGATGCGACAGAGGAGAACTAAAACAGAAAATGGGGACTTCAAATGTTCTCGAACTATATATTATTAAGTGGCGAAGCTTGCGAAGTTACTTATTGATTTCACCATGTCTGTCCGTCTGTCCGTCTGTCCGTCTGTCCGTCTGTCCCACGATTATCTCGAGAACGGTTTCGAATTTTTCGAATTTTCAAATTCTGTTTTCAGCAATCGATTACTGATCACCCAGCCATCTGAACCTCCTATTTTGAAATTGATTGCTCAACGGCAACTGTTAGAAACCGCTACAAAGCTGATTGCTTCGCCATTTTGCTATGCTGTTAGCTTGCTAGGTTTATTTACAACCGGGCTAGTTTATCAGATTCCACTAAAATATCACTTATAAATTTAGAAAGAAACTTACCATATAGGATTCTAATTAAAAAGGATACTTCCATTCTACTATATCGATACATAGCTTCCTCAAGGGGTTCTTAAGTGTCAAACAGAACAAGGCTCGTTTAGGGCGCTCTTGTAGAACCTTGGGGCCTCTTCGCGGCGGTTTACGCGGGGCTACGGGCACTGGTATGAGAGGCCCAGTACCGTCGGGTGCTCCCGGAGTCAATGGCACCCCTGATACTGGGGCTGGAGGTGCCAGGGTCTCTTCTGTACTGGTTTCCACAACACTCATATTGACCTGAAAAGAATTTTCTCATTAATAAAGTGTTGTGTTTCACAAATGTGTTTTATTTTGAATTTTATTTTAATAAGAATGGAGGAAACATAAAGGGCTAAAGTCGGTCTGATTATAGTATGGAATATCATAAAATCAGGATTTCTGAATATAAAAAAAATCGTAGTTGTACATGATTTAAGCAATTACAAGAATTAATGTTTGGCAATCACATGATTTAAGTCTTAAAATTAAAGACAGTGTTAAGACAAAACAATAATACTGACAATACGATAAATATACGGGCATGTGGATGCAAATATCATCAGTCCCTTGAGACAAGTAGTACTTTTAAGTGGTCAAAACGTATATTGTATGAAATAATTCAAATTTCACGCGATTAAGCGTGTAAATTAAATCATATTCAATTTGTAGTATCAAACGAAAAACGTGTACTGACAAAGTATACAAAACCTAGCTGTTACCCCATTAGGCATATAGTAGCCAATTAAACTTTAGAAACAATTGAAAGTATACTGTGTTCCATTCCACGACATAATTGGTTTTAGGCTTCCGTACCCAAATGGTAACCAACGGGACTTTATTAATAAGCCTCCGCTGCCCGTCCGTCCGTCCGTCCGTTCGTCTGTCTGTCAGCGGGCTGTATCATGGGCTACCTCATGATCCGTAATAGGTAGACAGTTGAAATTTTCACAGAATGTGTATTATTGTTGACGCTGTAACAGCAAATAATGAAAATAAAAATAAATTAAAAATTAAAGGGGGATCGCCTACTAGAAACGTGTTTTACGATGGTACGGAACCCTTTATGCGCGAGTGCGAGTCTCACTTGGCCGGTTATTTGTACCGAATTTCATTAGAATCTGTCCAGCCATTTACTTACCATCAGATAGACTGTGTGCTCGTTTATCACCTTTATCCTATAAAAAAGGCGTTTTTATTGTGGTAGATGTATATATTTTTTACAATTGTACCATAAATGGGTCGACCGAGTAGCACCACGCTCTTCCAAAATATCAGAGCCTTTTTACTGGAAACGAGACAATCCATCTAAATCCTCAGGGGTGCTTCTCTGACAACGCAACTGTATTATGATTTTTAATCAAGGATAGATCTAGATGACTATGAGCCACAGAATGCATTTAACATCAGGTGGACTGTGTGCCTGTTGTCACCCTCATTCTAAAAATACATCCACCACTATTAATTGCTAAGTAGATGGTAAAATTTTTATTGTAACAATGTAGACAACTTTCTAGTTGTTACCATGAGCTTTTGAATTCTTGGTCCACTCAAAAAAATTTACTATTTCGGGCATTCTTTCTTCTATATCTTGACCGACCGACCAAAAAAAATATTTCGAAAACATATAAAGTCCCAACACACATTGAGGCAGCGCGGCGAACACTTTCTTGCCCTAAAACACTTTTAGAAGTGAGTGGACGCGTGTACGTCTGTGCCTACTGTGCTGTAACTTTCACTTTAACTAGCACCAACTTCTGAAGCTGTTACGAATAAATTATTATATTCTTTTTAGGTATGTTTCGTTTAATATTTTTTTATAATACATGAAGCTGTAGACTGGGGAGTCGTTGTGATAAGTGAGACTACAGTTCCTCATTTCGTCCTACGAGTGTCGCAAAAGGCGACGAAGGGAAATGTTCAGGCAGGAAATAGGAAGCCTTCTCGTCGAACGTTTCGGTGCGGATTTCCCCTGCGAGTGGTTGCAGCGGTAAATTAAACTCCGACATTAGAAAGGATATTAGTTAATTCATATTAAGAAGAGACTCTTTTAAGTAACCGAAATGCTGCGGTATGAATATTTTTAAAATACTATATCAAAGTGGTAGAAAAATAAATAAAATCTACTGAAAAAGCTTAACCAAACAACACTAGAGTGCAACAGACAGATTGGTAGCCAGAATGAAATATACCAAATTTTTATTAATATAAAACAGGGTGACAAACGAGCACACAGTCCATCTCATAGTAAGTGGATGCTGTGGCCCATAGACATCTACATTAATACTCGATTAAGAATCAAAATGCAGATGCATTGTAACCCCTGAAGACTAAGATGTAATGCCTGGTTTCCAGTAAAAAGGGTGTCCTGTTACTTACATACACCATACGAAACACAGCAGCATTTAGCTGCTATTTTATACTGGTATTCTGTGAGAGTGGACCTACCCCGATCGAGCCGAGCCATTCGTGCTACAACCACAATATAGCTGCAGCGTGGCTTTACCACGTATAAAATACTGACAGGATATTACGATGTGCCTAATCAGAAAAAATTAAACTTACTGAATAGTAACAAACGTCTAAGAAGACATCAACTTAAACTCTAATGATAGGGTGTCCTTTACCCTGTCAAGCGCAATCTCATGAAGAATCTTATTACAAATCGTTTTGTCATTAATTCGAATAAGCTACCGCAAAATGTGATTGATGCTCCTACATTGAACGCCATCAAGAACAGATTGAATACAATCTCAAAACATTAAGATGCACACACATAATAAAATAGCAAAAATCATATCCTAAAATAGCCATAATGGTGATGAGGTTAGTAGAGTTTAAGATATGGGCAATCAGCTTAGTGCTGAAATCACCAATTTACTCGTAACTATGACGATTAATCATTACACCTTGAGATGATATCAGGTAAAGAAAATTTACAGGATTAACGGCAGCAGAAAAAAGTGATTTTTATTTAAAAAAAATTAATTATGAGACTAGTCGACTAGTCAGAGTCCCTAGACCAGGGGAGATTTGATGTTTGAACAATTTTATACGTGGTAGACCCACGCTACAGTTATATTATGGTTGAATACCGAATGGGTCGGCTCGACCGGGGAAGGACCACGCTCTCACAGAATACCAGCGTAAAATAGCAGCTTAACGCTGCTGTGTTTTGTATGGTGAGTGTAGAAAACCGGAGACCGTTTTTATTGGAAAGGAGGCATTCTATCTTAGCCCTCACGAGTGACAACGCATCTGCATTTTGATTCTTTATGGTTCACAGCAACCATTTACCCTCAGGTGGACTGTGCTCGTTTGTCACCCTATCCTATAAAAAAATACACTGTTTGCAAATTTTTTTAAAGTATTAATCATTTGCAGCCACTCGTAACCTAAACCATTCGCGTGGTTCGTTCTCAGAACATTACAAATGTACTTGAGACAAACTGCGTTTCGTTCCACGCTGTGTACACATTTATCCAAATGATTAATGCTCAACTGCTCGGAACTGGGTGAGCTGTCAGCTAAGTTGACTGATGTGGAATGACAATTTAATTTAATAATTCTTACCATGTTTCATAAAATTGAATAATGGCAACATCACTGTTATGTTGTGACGATACCATTTTTCGTTTCTTTTCGTTTAGATACAACACAACATAGAATATTATGTAATTTTGATTGAAGTAAGTCCGTGTTGCGGGAGTGTTTTTAATATAATAAAATTTATTATATAATTTCAATCAAACATTAAAAAAATACTAAACATTAAAATATTTTTTGTAGCAAATGATTTCTTATGCATATGTGTGCGTAAGTGTGTGTTCTTTCAATTGGTTAAACATGGTTTTGGCTTGGTTTCGGCGTCATTTGAAATGTACTCAGCGTTTCGTCAATTTGGTTTTCTTTCTGGGTCTAAGATTGGCATGTATTTTCAAAGGAAAATGAACATATATATTTATTATACGGCACAAGATTTTTTTAATAACTCTAACCTTTCTTTTTAATTGTCTGCTGATGTCCAAGAACATTAGCTGGACTCAAATTACGTATACGTTTATAAAAAAAGTGAGAAAATTTATTTCTTTTATAAAAATATATTTCAATTTTATTTACTCTCCTTAGACCGAACATGTTGATAATTTCGACAAAAGGAATTAACTAGAATAGTAGTTAGTTAAGAGAAGTATCTAGTAAATATTAAAGCGGGAGGAATTTAGTATTTCAATCATAAAACTGCGAACCGCGAACTGCGAGATTTGCGAATGTACTTGATAAATACAAAAATATTTCTCCATGTCATAAAATCCGATCTTCCAAAAGTCTAAACCGTGTTGTATAGCGGTGAAAGAATATCTAGCATCCTATATCATTTCTCGGGTATCGAAAGATCAGACATAAGAAACAAACCAGGAGACGGGCAGCAGATAAAAATAAAACTGCGGTTGCCAACCCGCTTTCCGTGGCATGTATCCTCCCTCTGTGGCAATCTACGTATGTGGCCTATATTTCACGTTGGACAGTAAAGGTTTATCTTGGTAAAAATATATAGACGCTAATATTGTTAATACGAATATCGGATCACTGGACATTACTGGCGATTTATACGTTGTTTGTAAATTTTAAATAAAATTTATGACTTCATTTCCTTAATTAAAACCGCATTCGTCGGCAGGTATTTATGTTTCACAAAAGTTCAACGAACCTCTGAGTTAACGTGGAAGATTTATTTATGTACATACAGATAAATGTTTTCGAGCACATTACTTCGGTTATTAGTTACTGGCAGCAAAGGAAATTTGAATCAGAACAGAATTGATATAATACATTTCCAAAGTACAAGTATATTTGCCGTGTGTTGACGGTGCAACTGTCACAATCACAACTAGTGATGCAACGAATACTACTTTTACGAATACGAATACAAATACGAATATCAAACCTACTATTCGGCGAATACGAATACGAATATCTCGCCATGGTATTAAAAAAACAATTTATTTGATGATTTTCTATTGTTCTAATAATTAAAATTTACAATAGGCAATTTTTTATTTAAAAAACATTAAACTTGTATATTTTATGGTTTTAGGCGATTTCTTTTTTCAGTTTGGATGTTCTCAGCCGTTGAAAAAAGTCTTTCCGAGGCGACTGTACATAGTTTCAGTGGAAAATATTTTTGGGAGTCTCTCGTCGTTGAGGCTAAGGGCCAAAACATACGTATTTTTTTACGCGCCGACGACGCACGTTGT